AAAAAAAAAAAAAAAAAAATCACAGGCAAGCCAGGCATGTGGGGGACGCCTGTGATCCTAGTACTTGGGAGGCTGAGGCAGGAGGATCTCTGTGAATTTGAAGCCAGCCTGGGCTGTATAGAGAGTTCAAGGCCAGCCTGGACTACATAGCAAGATCCTATCTAAAAAAAAAAAATCACAGGCAGCCCAGGTGTGGCCATGTCTGTGACCCCAGCATTTGAGAGCCTGACACAGGAGGAGAGCAAGTTCGAGAGTTCAGCCTGAGCAACTGAGGGAGACCCTGTCTCAAAATTTTAAAATTTAAAAGGGGCAGAGCAAAGCCCCTCAGATCATAGGCCCAGGCTTCAATCTCCAGTTGCGGGGGGAGACTGCAGGCACCCCTCGCTGTCCCATGTCATGCTCTGACTCTGTGCCTTGTCCCTGGGCTCCCACGGGGCTGGCCTCCCGGCCCGTCCTGGAACAGGCCTGTGTTCTCTCCGCGGAGGGAGCAGCTCACCATGCAACCTTGCTGGCTCCCACCCCGGCTTCCTGCACTCCTTTTCCTGGAGCCCCACTCAGAAGAGCTTCCCTGGCATTCCGATACCACCCTGCCTTCTTCCACATAGCAGTAACGACCTGTTGACCTGAAATTACATATTGGGGTATCTCTTGTGTTTTGTCTGTCTCCCCAGGGTATAACATCCCTGGGAGGGTAGAAATTGGTGGTCTGTTTTGTTCATAGCTGCATCTCCAGGCCTAGCAGAGTGCTAAGAGATAGATGCTCAGGACATAGTTTATGAAAGAAAGAAGGTTTACAGTGGGCTACCACACAGCTGCGAAGACGAAACAAGGCAGAGTCGGGCATCGTTGTGTACTCCTGTGAGCCCAGCACTCGGGAGGCTGAGGCAGGAGGATTGCCGAAAGTTCAAGGCCAGCCTGAGCTACATAGTGAAACCCTGCCTCAAAAAAAAAAAAATATGGACGAGGCAAATTGCTTCACAGAACCATCACTGACATACAACACTGGTGGAAACAGAAAGTGTATAGCATACGAGCAAATGAGTCAGAACCACAGTCATGTGTCACGTAATAATGGGGACACATTTTGAGAAGCACATCATTGGATGATTTCATCTTTGTGCAAACATTACATGCCCGGCATAGTGGTGCATGCTGTGATCCCGGCACTGGGGAGGCTGAGGCAGGAGGATCGCTGAGTTTGAGGGCAGCCTGGGCTACACAGCAAGACCTTGTCTCAAAAAAATCACAAGAGTTTACTTAAAGATAGCTATAGGGTCACTAGGTGATGTGTTCTTCTAGGGCTCCTATGCCGTATAAGTCCTCAGTTGACAGGCATGTCAGTGCCAGACACGGCTATACCTGGGGGCTTTGTTAAAACCCAAAATGAGTCCCAATCACGGAGCCTCTGACCCCCATCTGGAGTTGGGCCCAAGAATTTACATCTGTAACAAGTCCCATGGGATATGGGACCAGATTTTGAGAATTATAGATACGGTCTCTGGGACCTCCCCCAAGAAAGTGGAATGCTCTGCATTGCTTTCCTGGCCCGTAAACTCTTTCTGCAAGTAGATGCATTGGAGGAGACCGAAAAGGACTCAAGCCAAGGTGCCAAGGGCAGTGGTCCCAGCAGAGGCTGAATTTGGCGGGGGGAGTCACAAGGGGGTGGGGAGTAGAAGGAACAATCCACTGCCTCAGGGGGCCTGCTTGGTGCCAAATTGCCAGGGTTCAAATTCAGCTCTGCCATGTCCCAGCGCTGAGGCCTTAAGTGGGTGACTTTCCCTCTCTGGGCCTCAGTTTCCCGCTCTGTTACATGGGTATCATAGAACTTGTTCCTAGGGTTGGTGTGACAATCAAATCTCTTAAAAGAGCAATTCCTCGCCAAGTGCTGTAGCACAGATCTGTAACCCCAGCTGCTTGGAAGGCTGAGACAGAATTGCAAGTTCAAGCCCAGCCTGGGCAATTTAGTAAGACCCCATCTCACAAAAAGCACTGAGGGTATAGTTTAGTGGTACAGTGTTTGCCCAGCATAGGCAGGGCCCTGGGTTCAATCCCCACCACCACACCTGCACAGAAGTTCCTTGTAAGCACTTAATAAGTGCCACCTTGCATTACTACATAAAAAGAATAATTAAAAATATTACATGCATAATTAAAAATAAATGTAGGGCTGGGGATTTAGCTCAGCAGCACAGCGCCTGTCTGGCAAGCGTAAGGTCATGAGTTTGATTCCTGGTACTGGAAACCAACCCCCCCCCAAAAAAAATAATGTAAGAGGATGGATTTGGGGGTAAATTGTGCAGGTCTCATTTCAGTTCTTGTGCTACAGGGAAGAGCAGTATCTGGGGGAAGAGACAGACAGTCCAGAGTCCTCTTCCCAGTATCTAGGTCCCCCCAAATTTTCCTCTAGTCTGTACCCCCGGTTTTGCAAACCTGACCTCATTCCTTCCAGCTGCCAAAGGATGAATCTTTAAAAGACAGAGGTCCTTGGCCCAAATCTTGCTTCCTCTCTCTCCCCACAATACTCCTCATCAAAAGGATTTTATTTTATCTTCTGCAAGCCCTTCCACAAGCAGGCCATGGAGCTCAGGCATGCGATTTGGGCCTGGGTACCTGCAAACCCCTTTACCCAAACCTCGGCACACATTTGTTCCCCCTCCTCCATTTGCTAGTCAGTGTCCAATGCTTTTTTACCTCTGTTAGGAAGTCCTTCTGCAAGTCTAACTTAAGTCTTGCTTGCTGGAAGGGACCTTTTTCCTTCCTGGGAAGACAAGGGCCCAGGGACCCCTGCCCCCAGGATCCAGGCCTCTCTCTGCAACACCCCTTGTCTACACCTGGCATCTCCATCATTCTCATTAGCAAGTCAAGTTTAGCTTCAGTCTTTCTTGCTTCTAGAGAGTATATTCTTGGTTTTAGGGTGAGGGTGCCTGTTAAGTCCCATAAAACGGGCTCAGGGATCAGAGGAGACCCCACCCCCTCTTCAGAAGGACCTAGGAACCCCCAACACTAGGGAAGTTTATATTTAGCGTTTCTCTGCTCTTCTCTCCCTGTCGCTGTCTCCCTGCCCCCCCCCCACTGCCTCCTCCCCAGGCTGGGACCAGCTTTGCCTGGTGACTGGGGGAGGAAGGCCTCGCACTACCATCTCTTGCCAGGGTGGGGGTGCTGAGGGATGGGGGAGGGGCGGAAGGTCCTTGCACCTTCTCCCTCTCTTGATGGGGTGGAGTGGGGTAGCAGCAAAGGTCCCCACAATCCGGCGCTAACTTCGGGAGGGGGCGGGGCCTCCCACAGCTGTTTCTGCTTGCGAGAAGAATGTGCAGGGTCCCACTGCCGGCCGGGGGAGGGGCTGGGCGTCCGCGCCGTCTGGCTGCAGTCTTCTGCCCCACTTCCCATCTGGGGAGGGGGCAGCCGAGGTCAGCAGCAGGGATAGCCCCCTCCCCCCTACCAATCTCGGCTCAGGTTTCCCCAAACGGGAAGCTCTGACCACACACAGGCTCGGACGGCGGTGCGAGGGGAGCCAGGGTCTGTGGGCTGGGGGAGGGGAGGGAGACTGAGACGTGGGGCAGGAAGAGCGCGAGGAGGCGGCGGACCCGGGAGGCAGACAGAGAGGCTGGATTAGGAGAGGGAAGCTGAGCCTGCAAGTCTCGGAGATGCGGCGGCGGCAGGGACAGAGGCAGGGAAGCCAGGCAGGGTCTCGAGACCCAAGGAATGATGGAGAGAGAGAGGGCTTCTTGCATTTGGAGACCTCTGGTCATTTCCAAAATTAGACTCCCAGGGAGCTCAGATCAGGCCACGACGTGCCCCTAACCTGGCTGCTCCTGGGTTAAGGAGGGCCAGGACCAGGTAGGAGAGAGGGGAAGTGTCACCACTGGGTCACGCTGCTGGTGGGGTCCTCGGGGACCACAGCTTCCTCTCAGCAGTGGTCCCTCCCCCAAGAGGCCTAAGATCCCCTCCTCCCACCCCGCCCCCTCGGAGATCTCCAAGCACGCCGGGACTTAGGAAAGATGGAACCCGGCTGCGGGGCCCAGAGGGGCGCAGGTTTAGATCGCGGCTGTGTGACCTTGGGTGAGTCACTTCCTTTCTCTGAGCCTCAGTTTCTATCTCTGTAAAATGGGGACTATTACCGTCTATCTCCCAAGCTGCGAGAAGACAGCGCGTGCAAAGTACTCGGACCCTAACCTGACACATACTTGGTGCCTGGAGGGTTTTGTTTGGGTAAAGGAGCAGCGGTTAGAACCCATGCATCTCAGGGTCCCCCAACATAGGCCATTCAGTGGCCCCTGTCCCGACTGGGGGGCGGGGTGGCCAGGTCCTGCCCGCGCCCTGGACTCCCGGGTCTGTAGCCCTCCCCCCTCCCTACCCACCCTCAGGACCCGTGTCCGAGCACCCATCCGAGACAGACAGACACGGGAGAGGGTGGAGGGACGGACGGACAGACGGTCCCTCACCAGCTGCTCCTCCAGGGCCGCAGCGGCCCGGCGCGCCGCCGCCGCATCCTCGTCCTCGTCGGCGTCCTCCTCGTCCTCGGCCTCGGCGCCCCCCATTCCGGGCTGGGCCAGCCGCAGCGCCTGCTGCACGCGGTACTCCTGCCTCTCCCTGAGCCAATGCAACTCGCAGAGCCCGGCCAGACTGCCCTCCAGCCATCCCCGCAGCCTTCCCCGCTCGGGGCTCACCGGGAACGAGAAGGCCCGGATCATGGCTGCGGCCCCCCGCCCCAGCCCGGCCGGGCCCCACGGCCACCCCTCTCCCGTTCCCACCTCCCGCCCCAGCAGCCCGCCTGCCCGCCCGCCCGCTGGCCGGGCTGTCACCGTCTCATCTGCATAGGCGCCCGCCCATTGGGCCGCCCACCCGCGCCTTATCTGCATGGTCACGCCCCCAGCAACACAGCAACCGCCGCCTATTGGTCGGTTAGCTCCCCTACGGAGATACTTGTCTGTGCCCCAGAGCCGCCCAACATGACGCATGCTCAAAGCAACCTACTAGCTCTGCTTTAGGGCCGCCTCGCCACGCCCCGCCCCCGTGCTCCGGCTTTTGGGCCCTGGCAACGCCCCCTACGCGTCACAATGAAAGAAGTCAGCTCTTGCTCCAATACCATTGGTCCATGCTTTCCCATTCTGCAGCTGGTTCCGCCCCCCTACAGGCGAACTCTAGCTACCATTGGACTGTCCGGCGAGAGGGGACGGGTGGTCTATAAATAGAGAATGGGTCCACGTGACAGTTTGGCAACCGTTCCCACCTCCCCTCCCTAGCCTTCGGCTTCTGAGGCTGCGCGGGGGGAGGGCAGAATTAGAGGGTCGAGCCTTGATCGACCGTCCTCTTCCAGGAAGCCTTCCCAGAGCCTTAGCTGTAAAACGAGACACATATCTTCCGGATAAAACTGTGCTTCTAAGTAAGCCCAGCTCTACCGGCGTGGGACTCGCTTAGAAGGACAGTTTGGTTTAACGTTCTGCAATTCAATAAGAATTGAAATTCTTGTCTTTTGAGCAAAGGGACCCCCACATTTTCATTTTGTATTGAGCGTGCGAATTGGGTAGGCAGTCTTGCTTCTGAGAGTCTTAGATCGGTTGTTTCCCAGATGCTGGAATTAGTAGACACTGCATGGGAGATTCTACGATCTGACCAGAATAGAATCTAAGCTGTTTTTGTCTCCCAGGTGCTGTGAGGCTGCGTGCTCCACCGGTCTGCGGTTCCAGGGCCCTTTGTCCTGTGCTCTAAGAGGCTTTGTTCTCGGCCTTCTGAGATGCTCTGTTCCCCGCGTCTTTGGTCCTCCGCGTCCGAGCCCGAGAGCGGTTTCCAGGCTCGCTCCGTCGGCGGGGCCAGCGCCCCCTCAGGCGGCCAGCTTGTGTCACTACGAGTTGCCTCCCTACAACCTTCGGGACAGATCTACACTGCCTTAATTTTGCAACAGCTGCGGGTAGATGATAGGTTCCGCAGAGCTGGAAGCAAGATTTTCTCAGCGGTCGGTGTCGGCGTGAAGTCAGAATTGGCTTTCACCCCTCCCGTTTGTGCAAGACCACTTGAATGAATTGCTGAGGAGAACGTTCGGTGTGGAGCTGATTTAGGATGAGAAAAAGAGAACAAGGGACTAAAAACCAAGATCCACAGCCAGATCAGAGGAGTCCTAGAAGGAGGTGAAGAGACACCCTGGTTGGTGCAGTCAGAAGAGCTTAGCAGTTCTGCAGATTTCCTTTTTGCCCCCTACACGTTCTGTATTGATGATGGCGGTGGTGGTGGTGAAAGGGTTTCCGGCTGTAAACATGCAGCTGTTGCTTCCAACCATGGCGCAGACTCCTGCCCTGGAAGCCACGTGCCCAGTTATAGCAGCTGATTGGGAAGGACCGGCTCGATGTGTCTAGATGTTCTCAGCCAGGGTGCTCACCTCTCAGAGGTGTGAATCAGAAAGGATGCGTGTAGCAAGGGAGTGCTTTTGTTTTGTTTGTTTGGTTTTTTTTTGGTTTTTCTCCGGTACTGGGAACCGAACTCATGACCTTGCGTTTGCCAGGCAGGCGCTTTTGCCACTGAGCTAAATCCCCAGCCCCCTAGTGCTTTTGTTTTGGTTTGGCTTTTGATGCTGGGAATTGAACCCAGAGCCTCCTGCATGCTAAGCAAGTGCCACTGAGCCTTATTCCCTGGCCACATGACTTTTTTTTAAGTGCTGGAGATGGAACCCCGGGCCTCACACAGGCGAGGCAGCCAGGCCACTCTACTACACCTCCAGCCTCCTAGATTTCTTGGGTAGCCCAGACAACAGTGCCCTGGATACAAACATTTCCCAGACACGGCTGAACGCCTACTTAAATGTACTTAATTCAAAGCATCGACAGATCATGTCTGAGTAGATAAAATATCCAGCTTCCAACTGCCTTTTGCAGTGTCAGGCACCTTATGATTTTGAGTTCTTCTAGCAGAGTGCAAGATGGGGGAAGGAGTAGATGAAATAAGTCAAGGTAAGATAGGAAGACGTTGAGAGGAAGCAAGTGCACCATATCCATCAGCTAAGGAACTGCCCTAGGGAAAGTTTGTTGTTTTTGTTTTTGTTTTTTTTAAGACAGGGTCTTGCTATGCAATTTAGACTGGGCTTGGACTCACTTTGTAGCCCATGCTGGTTTTGAACTCACAATGATACTCCTGCCTCAGCCTCCCAAGTGCTAGGATTACAGGTGTGTGCCACCACACCCAGTTTAAAATTCTTTTCTTTTTTCTTTTTTTTTTTTTTTTAGACAGGATCTCCCTATGTACTGTAGTTAAGTTTTGACCTCACTAGGTAGCCCGGACTGGTCTTGAGCTCATGGCAGGTCTCCTGCCTCAGTCTCCACAGTACAAGAGGATCCCCCAAAATTCAAGGCCCGTCTGAATTACATAGTGAGACCCTATTTTAAAAAAAATTGAGCCCTTCTTGGGCAACTTAGCAAAAAGACTGTCTCAAAGAAAGAAATTTAAAAAGCCTAGGGACGTAATTCACTGGGTAAAGTGCCTGCCTAGCATATGTGAGGCCCTGAGCTCAATCCCCAGAACCACAGAAAATAAACACATAAGCTGAAATGCCGGAAGTCTGAAATCAATGTGTTGGCAGGAGCCAGCTCCGCCTGAAACCTGCCGGGCAACCCTTCCTGCCTCTCCCTAGTTCCCACTGGTTGGCTGGCAGCCTCCCATGTTCGTGCCATGCAGCCATAGTTCCAGTCTGGCTCTGTCACCATGTGGCCTTCTCCTTGAGTGTCTGTCTCCACATAGCCACCTCCCTAAGGGGACCCCAGGTGTGTTGGATTAGGGGCCCAACCTCCTCCAGGATGACCTCATCCCAAGGAATCAGCTCTGCAACAACCTTATTGCTAAATGAGGTCACATCCTGAGGTCCAGGAACTAAGATTTCAATGTACCTTGTGGGGAGGAAGGAAAATTTAACTCATGACAGTGTACAATCTGCTGGGGCTGCCATTCAGTCTTGGAGAAAGTTAATAATGGTGTAAATGCATTCTGTGGATAAGGTTTTACCTTCAAGGACAAGTATATGAGCCAGACATGATGGCACATCTGTAATCCCAACACCCTGGGAGGCTGAGCCAGGAGAACGGCAAGTTTAAACCCAGCCTCGAAAGAATAAATAAATAAAAAAAAATAATTTTAAAATACCAGCCTTGGCAATTTATTTTCATTTTTATTTTTTATTTTTTGGTACCAGGAATCAAACTCAGGACCTTGCACTTGCCAGGGAGGTGCTTGTGCCGCTGAGCTATATCCCCAGCCAGCCTCAGCAATTTAGAGGCTGTCTCAAAATACAAAAGAGCTGGTGATGTAGTTTAGTGGGAAGCCCCTAGGTTCAATCTCCACCTTCACAAAGGAAAAAAAAAAAAAAAAAATTGTGGTATTTGATGGCCAATAGGATGGTTTTTTTGTCTCTAATAGTTTTGTTTGTTTGTTTTTGAGCCAGGGTCTCACTATGAAGCTCAGGCTGGCCTTGAGTTCACTTTGTAGCCAAGGCTGGCATCAAACTCACAATGATCCTCCTGCCTCAGCCTCCTGAGTGCTGGGATTACAGGCATGTACCACCACACCCGGCTCTGTCTCTAATAGTTTAAATTGTAGGATAAGTTGGCATAGTGCAGATATGATTTTATCTTCCACGGCACCCTCAGGATATTGAGCACCCTGGAATTCTGTAAGAGAGGCATTCTGATAGTTAACATTATGGGGTGTTTTTTGGCCAGGCATGGTGGCTCATGCCTGTAATATCAGAGCTCTGGGGAGCTGAAGCAGGAGGGGTGTTATGAGTTCAAGGCCAGCCTGGGCTACATGGTAAGTTCAAGTCTAGGCTGAACTACAGAGCAAGACTTTGTCTAAAAAAATTTTTTTTGACCAGGTGTAGTGGTGCACTGCTATAATCCCAGCACTTGGGAGGCTGAGGCAGGAGGATCGATCTGAGTTCAAGGCCAGCCTGGGCTATACAGTGAACTCAAGGTCAGCCTCAACTACATAGTGAGAGCTTGTTTCAAAAAATTTTTTGTTTTGAACCATGTCTATAATTCTTGACATGGGAGTAGTGTGTCAAAGACCCACCCTGAACAGCTTCTCAGCAGTTTCCAGCCAGCATCTGTCACTGGAGATGGAGTCATCCCTGTGCTATCCACTCCTGGACCCTAGACCAACCCACTTTAGAGGGACAGGCTTTGATCTGAGACCTTCTCCAGTAGGATTAGCTCTGACTGTGCAGGGAAGGCTTCCGGCCCATTGGGAACGTCCTCATTCACTGCTGAGGTGTACGTAGCTTTTTCAATTCAAACAGCTGCAGCTCCAGAACCCACCAGTAGGTGGCCAATCTGCCGTGAATGGGTAAATGCCTGGGAATTCCAGCCCTAGCTGCAACTGGCTGCTAAATTGTTTTTACAGGGCTCTGGTGAGTCTTTAATTACAGCGCCTACGTCTGGGCCTGACTTAAAAGTGAACTATTCAGGAGCATGCCGAGATAGCCTGCTCTCAGCCCTGGAGACAGAGTGGAAAACACAAATACAGGTTCCCTCTGGGCCAGTTTCTCTGCCCACAGCCTCAAGGCAGAAATGAAGCTTGAGAAGTCAGCTCAGAGCTGGTGGTGAGGGTGGTGGTGGCGCACGCCTGTAATCCCAGCACTCAGGAGGCTGAGGCAGGAGGATCATTGCGAGTTCAAGGCCAACCTGGGCTACAAAGCGAACTCAAGGCCAGCCTGAACTGCATAGGGAGACCTTGTCTCAAAAAGCAAAGAAAAAAAAGAGAAGTCAGCTCAGACACCACACCCCACCTCTCAGGCTCACCATCCCAGCCCTGTCCAAGGATGAATGGGTCCATTTGACACCCATGCATGGGGTGCCATGAGGGCAGGGCCTGGGCCATCTTGGTCACCACTGTGTCCCCAGCAGCACGCAGCACAGCATGACATATGATAAATTAATGAGTACATTTGGTGTGTACAGAAGCCCTTGAGGCAATATAGAACACTGGGTTGGGTGTAGCT